ATGATAAATTCATTCATTACAAAAAGATACCCAATAAAATATAAGAAAACTAATATATTGTTCAGTCCGATAGGAGGATATGTCTGAAAATTAATTTAATACAATAATTCGATTAGAAGATGAAAAATAGATATCTATAAAATTCTTTCTACTTTCTTTCTTTCTTCCTTTCTTTTTTGTTGAAAATTTTATCAAAAGATCATTAATTTAACTTACTCATCTAGTATTATATATATCAATTAAATTTTAGAATAATCTATGAGTTTTTTTTTTGAACATCAACAAAAATATAATTATTCATATCGCCCAATTAACCCAACATTACTTTCACTAATAGATGATTAATTTTTCACCAGTCCATTCAACAAGCATTATTGTCATCAATCCAAAAATTAGTTTAATGTTTCACCCATTCATCAGAGTATAAATCCCATTAGCCAGGAAATTAATTCTTCATCTTGCCTATTTGTCAGGGCTCTAATTCCATTAAATCAGGAATTAGTTCAATGATTTACTCATTTATCAAGGTACTAATCCCATTAACCAGAGGCTTCCTCATCACGCCCATTCACTAGGACATTAATCCCATTAATTTAGGAATTAGTTCAACGATTTGCCCATTCACTAGGATTATAATCTCATTAACCAGAAAATTAATTTCTTATCACACTCATTCACCAGGGCATTAATCCCATTAATTCAAGAATTATTTCATCACATCGCATATTTTATTTTCTCAAGTAAACTATATAATAATTATTAATTTATCAACCAAAATTAATCATATAAAAATACATATTGACCAAATAATCAATTTAGGCACCGTGCAATTACCTGACGATTGAGCTCATGCCGAAGTTCCCTACTGTGGTATCGGCCTAGCAGCCTCTCTTGAATTGATAAGTATATCGCATCATTATTCTACTTTTCATATTGACACACTCAATAAATAAAATCCTTTCAATTATCCTTTTATTTGTTAAAATAAAATTTATAGAGAACTATTAAAATTTCCTTTTTTCTTTTATAAATTTCCTTCCTATTCTTTCAATTTCCACATTGTATCACAATTCATTTCATCATTCAAATCTCTCTCTCTCTTTCTCTTTATATATATATTTACCAAAATTTATATTAAAGGAGACATAAAAAAATTGCATGATCTATTCACTCTTTAACATTAATATCATCTCTTTTCTTTACAATCTCATTATCTTATCAAAATCCTTAAATTTTATTTTTCTTGTTATTATTTTTCCAAAATCCCTTCTTCAAGAATACCTAAAAATTTGCTTCAATTACCATAATTTCTTACTTTCTCTTCTCACTTCAATAATCTTAATATAATTTTACAATCAATTGTAATTTTTTTTAAAAATTTATCATGAATCCTAATTCCTCATTTCATAAAGTTCAATCAATTTTAAAAATACCTTTCATGCCCCTCAATTTTTTCTTCCCACACACACATATACTTGCACACGTATAATTACTTAACTTTTTTAAAAATACCTTTTATATCCATCAATAGTAACTTTTATGATTGTTGGGTAAAATTTCCAGAATCCTGATGTCTGTTTATACTAAATCTTACCTGAGTTATTTTGAATTTCACTATATTACTCGTTGACACTTTCAGTTTCATAAAATTTACGTTTATAAAAATTTTATTCACATTTTCATATTTATTTATTTATATATTTTAAAAACTGAATAAAATATTTCAATTCAGATTCTCAAATATATCATCATTTTTATAATTTAATTTATCAATTTCCCTTAGTTTTTATAATCTTGACTTTTATTAATATCAATAATATTACTCGGGGTTTTATAGATAGGGAAATCTCTTCTGGGCTTGCGTGATCTAAAAGAATATTGGAATCCTTCCCTAATCCAGTCTTAGTTGTTGGGTGATGTATGAGTTTGGAAAATATAGATATTCTAGGAGGAGCTTATCTCACCTACTAGTATTTGTAGAGTTTGTTTAATGAAAATTTACTTAGAAGCTATATCTTGCATCATGACTTTAAGTTGAGAAGGTCATCTGATTGAGCATTCAGTTTAAATATCATTGACTTTTTGATTAGCAACTTCCAAAGAATCATTCAACCTTTTTATATTTTGGGACCTAGTTTTTTATGGTATTTTGCTAGGGTCCAAAATTTTATGCTATAATACCACTTTGCACCATGTTAAAATTATAAGTCTTAAGGTATAACAATGGAGGGAAGATGGAGGGGGGATAATGAAAAGAAACAAAAAGATTTACACACTCAGTGTGTATTGAGAAGAGGACAAAAAAAGAGAGATGAGAAGAATATGGAGCAAATCTTTCAATACTGTTATAGTTCTTATCAATTTCGTTTCAATCATTAGAGAATTTAAAGATAAAACCTTCTCTATTTCTATTGCCAGTATGGCACCACACACATGGCCATTATAGCTTAATTCATGCTTATTTAAATGAGATTGCATAAAACACATTTGTAATGTTACAATGGGTTTAAAATCACATCCCACTTCCCTCCTTGTTTGTTATTTACTTCATTTTTAGCTGTGATGCTTTGGTAGCAGTGACGGCAACGAGGAGATCTGTTAGACCGGTCTGGAGAGCGAGAACAAGAGCGCGTGTGTCGGGAATGCGTTTAGTCTGGTGAGCGCGTGCGTCAGTAGGTGTTTCAAGTACGCTCTTCTTTATCACGACGTCTTTCTCGGTCTCAGTCGCAGTCTCTCGTGGCTAGGGTTCGGGGGTTTGGGAATTGATTTTGCAGAGAGTGTGAGGTTTCAATAATTAAACTTGGAGATTGGAGTTAGCACCCCTTGGTTGTTAAACTCACACGGGGTTTACGAGGTCAAGGTAATAGATTTTGGGTCAGATAGATGAAATCAAGTTAATTTTAAAAAATAAAAATATATATATTTAAAGTTTTAATATTTTATATAAAAAAATTTTAAAACAATACATCTTAAAAAAAAATTATAAAGTACAATATAATTATTTCATATTAAAAAGTTGAGAAATAATTATCATGGATGTAGCTATATATAGTTATCCAACATTAAAAATTTAAAAACTCATGTTAAAAAGTTAAGAAATAATTATTATGAATATAGCTATATATAGTTATCCAACATTGAAAATTTAAAAAAACAATATATGTGAATTTTGAAATAATGAATGTTAATATAAGCTATAAAAAAATAATAATTATGAAGTGTATTATAGTTATCTGACCTTGACAAGTGTAGTATAGATATGTAACATTGAAAAACTAAGAAATAATATGTGGATATAGACTATATATAATTATTCCATATTAAAAAATTTAAAAATAATCCATATAAATATAAATATAGTCTATAAAAGATATAAAGTTTAGTTTAATATAATTACCTCACTTCAAAAAATTAAGAAATAATGCATGTTGATGTAGATATTATAACTATACTACACTGAAAAAACGAAGAAACAATTTGTATAGATATAACCATATATAGTTATTGCATTTAAAAAAACAATACATATGGATATAGTCAATATAGTTATCTCACCTTAAAAAATTAAAAAAAAAACAATCTACATTGAAATACTAAGAAACAATTTTATGAAAATAAATTATATATAATTATTTCATATTAAAAGATTAAAAAATAATTCATATAAATATAAATATGAATGATAAAAAAATCAAGTCTCATCTAAATTAAACAAAATCAATTAACTTTCAAGTTTCAAGTTGACTTGACCAATCTCTCAAATTTGACTTTATAAATTGCAAATTCAATTTCTTATAATTTAAAACTTGGTCAATATATCAAGCCATTCAAATCTTGAATTAATCCACCAGATAAAGCCAAGTTTCTTAACCACGCCCCAGACCCAAACGAGGGGCACAAGGAAATCAGTGAGTGAGGGTTCATGTGAAATTCAACATCTTTTTTTAAAATTTTAATAAATATGGCATTTAAATAAACAAAAGATATGCCAAATTGTACATATTTAAAATTCTTTCTTTCTCTGTTTTTTTTTCATATAAAATGAAAATTAGGCTTATGTAATACGAGAAAGGTTTTCTATTCTTTAGCCTAAAAAATATATGGATATAAAATAGGAATCAAGTGAAAGGAAATCAACCAATGATAAAGTAAAAAAAACTCCTCTTTCTTCCTTATATTTTATAAAATTAAATACTTTTTAAATTAAATATTGTAAATGTATTAGACAAGTGTTGCATTGTGGTTACGTGAATATTTTTTTTATTTCTAAATTTAACTATTTAAAAACATATTCTTAGTTATTTCTAAGCATTTCTTGAGATCATTTGTACTAAATTAATTTTTTTTTTAAAAAGGTTGTCTCACAAGCTGTCGTGGTTAACTTTCTGGAGTGAATTTGGCTTATTGATAATAATATTCAACACATCTAAGATAGTATATGGAAGTCAAAATAAAATAATGTATTAATATGTGTTATCTCTAGGCAAGATCAGGGTCGTGATGTTTTTGCTAAAAAGAGTTCCAGTGAGCTATAAATTAGTTTTTGGTTTTATAAAACAAATTAAAAAGCCCCTTTAATTTAAATAATAATTTTGAAATTTAATATTATATTATTTTAAAAATATATTCTTTTACCATCAAGATTCTCACGTCATCTCCTTATTTTTTTTTTATTTTCCATTTCATAAAAAAGAAATTAAAAATCAGCTTGGTACTTCATAGTTTCCATGCTTCTTTGGCCACATGTCATTTAAAATTTTGGGTTAACCAAACGCGGCAAAGAAGCTCCGTGTTTTCACTTTTCAGGGGCCTGAAAACCATCCCGCCTTAAAATTTCCACTTCCAAAGTACCCACGATCCCTCTCTACCCAATTCCACCAATCAGATTCAAGGATACACAATCCAATGGTCAATAGCCTAAATCACAATCCTCACGCGGATCTCCATCTGATCCAACGACCACCACACCGCCTTGCCTTCTATAAAACTAACTCTCCAAATTCTACCTCATCAAATCAAATCACAGTAAATCGAAAAACAAAAGTCAAAATCTCCTAAGAAAATGTCAGGGAGAGGAAAGGGAGGCAAGGGATTGGGAAAGGGCGGAGCCAAGAGGCATCGTAAGGTTCTTCGTGATAACATCCAGGGTATCACCAAGCCTGCGATCCGTCGTCTAGCAAGGCGTGGTGGTGTCAAGCGTATCAGTGGTCTTATCTACGAGGAGACCAGAGGCGTGCTCAAGATCTTCCTGGAGAATGTGATTCGTGATGCTGTAACCTACACAGAGCACGCACGCCGCAAGACAGTGACTGCTATGGATGTCGTGTATGCTTTGAAGAGGCAGGGCCGTACTCTTTATGGTTTTGGTGGTTGAAGGAATTTGGGGATTTTCTGGGCTAGTGGTCGATTTAGGGTGTTTTGTTTGCTCTCGTTAGGCTTTAGCTTTACTATAACTGGTGGTAGATGTCTAATTCTTGTATTTTCAAAGCTGCAAGTGTCTCTCTCTTGATGCTTGATCTAAATGAAATGCTCCCTTTCCTTTGCATTCCGTGTCCTGTTTTGACCCGTTTTAATTTCTGATTCGATCTCCCAAGTTGGATTCTGTTTGCATACTGGGTTTTGCGGTGGCGTTGCATATATATTTCACCTACAATTCCAGGATCTTAGGTGTGACAAATTAGGAGTCCGAGAGCGCTACTGTTTCTGTTTGGATGTATTACCATTAGTTGAACCAGAACTGGGTTGAACTCTTTGATATCATATACTTTTATGACGCAGCTCGTTAGTGTAACGAAGAAATGCTTAAAAAGAGTAATCTTGTGTAGTTTGTTTGAGTGCTGTTGCCGTTTTTAATTTATTGGACACTTTGTTGAGAGTTATGAACTTGAGATCCTCAAGGGGCAAAGGGGCATGGACAGTCTTTGCCTTCTAAATGGGAATGCTAAGACTGTAGGATACCAATGATTGATTTGAGATTGTTCCTCAGAATTGTCTGTCGTGAGCATGCTTGAAGGGTATTATTTTAAATAAAATAAAAGGGTATAAATTATTTTAAATAAAATAAATGATAATTAAAATAATAAAAATTCAAATATCATAAAAAAATTTGAAAAATAATAAAATTAAAAAGATATAATTTAGAAATTATTTTAAGTAAAATAAATACAATTAAAATAATAAGAATAATATATGATAGATAAATTTTTTTAACTAAAACTTTATTTGTTTAATGAAAAATATTTTTTTTAAAATTATTATTTAAATTTTTATGTATTTATTTGTTATTATAAACGTTGATTAATAGAAAATATTTTTTAGTTAAAAACTTTATTTTGGTTTTTAGTAAAATATTTTTTTTTGTTTTAGGTACGAAATATTTTTTGAAAATTATAAAAAATTTAAAAATATCATATTATTTATTAATTATATCAAATTTAATTCTTAAACTTTTGATTGTTATATATATATATATATATATATATTTGGAATATTTTTTTTAATTTAATCTCTTATAATTTAATTTTTATATTAATTTTAGTCTTTACTTTTATAATTATTATTTATTTTTTTTTATGATTTTTTAATTGAAATTTTTTATTTATTAAATTTGATCCTCATTTGTTTGATTATTATTTATTTTATTTAAAATAACTCATGAAATGATAATTATTATTATTATTTTAATTTTTTCATCTTTAATTTTTTTAATTTGTTAAATTTGATTTTTATTATTTATTTTATTTAAAATAATTTATGAAATTATATTTTTTTCAATTTTATTCTTATTCAACCTTTTAATTTATAAGATTTATTTTTTATTATTTTAATAAACTTGAAAAAAAATAAAATATTAATAAGTTATTTTTCAACTTATTTTTGATGACATAATTAAATACTGGAAATTTTTTTGCAACTTATTTTCCATTGTACTATCATAGATTGGAAAATATTAAATTTAATATCATCAACAAACAATAATATTTTTTGAATTTTTTACAACTTTTAAAAAATATTTTCTATTTAAAATAAAAAAATAACTTTTTAAAAACAATACCAAATTCTGAAAAGTACACTAAAACTAATAGTAAATAAATATAAAAATGTTTATAACACTTTCCATGAAACATGAAACAAACGGGCCTTGGATTCATTGCTATGCATGCATTCAATTACTTAAGTGGAATTTTGTTTGGATGATGAGAAAATACAACCAGTTTTTTATTTTGTTCTTAATTTTCCTAGCAACCAAGCAGATGATAATGTCTAAATCTGATCTAGTACCTCGGTCAATGCTTAATGTCAAAGAATGAATTTGGAGTAGTTGTTTAATTCCCTTAAATCTTTCAAATAAATTGTGATGATATTCGTAAATCAAGAATCTTGGACTTGAAAATGCTAGAAGCAAAATCAGTTTCAAGTGTAGTAATGTGCCTCTAGGCTTTACCTGAAAGGTCCGTAGTTGGGCTTAAATAGTTACTTACTCAAACCGGGCAGGCCCATAAGACATCTTCGTCACTCTGAGTCCTAACTCCTCCTAATCTCCTCCTCGCATCTCTCTTCCTCTCACCGATCGCCATTTCCTTTGTCCAACAACCGCTACCAGTCAATCATTTGTCCTTTGTTCTTCAAGGTAAGGGCTCTCCTTCTCAGGGATTTCCCAAGATCTAATAGCAAAAAATATATGCGGAAAAACTTTGTTTTCTTGTAGTTTTGATGTAAAGGATAAAAAATTGCTCCCAATTTATCTTCCATTGTAAACCAATCAAACCAGGGTAGCTCATAACAAACAGATCTAAATCAATTTTTGTTTTATAAAAACTACCATGTCCTGTTTAGCCCTTTCTTTGCAACCCTCAAATGGATCCGATATCCTCCTCCAAACCCGTGAGTGGTTCCCACCCGCTCGCGCACTCATCGCCACCTCCGCCTTCCGCCAAACACGCCTAGCCTTCGCCGCCACCAAACACCAACCAACCGCCACCACCAACCCTAGCAACCTTTCTTCCGACGATTACTCCCTCTCTGCAGCCTCTGTCGACTCCATTGCCTCTCTCGGTGACGATCCCCTCGCCGCCTCCAGCGGCCAGCTGATTGTCGGTGTTGAGAGCCGTTACCGTGTAGTCTACCGTCTAGTCAATGGAATCTACATTCTAGGTGTCACAATTGCAGATGGCGACAACTCAGTTAATGTGTTTGAGTGCATCAACATTGTTAATCAAGCTGTTAGTGTCATTGTAACTGCTTGTCGTGGCGTAGATGTGACTCCAGAGAAGCTCAGCCGGAAATACGCAGAGATCTATATGGCATTGGATATTGTACTACGAGGTGTGAGCAATATCAGACTTGCAGCTATGTTAACTTCAATGCATGGAGATGGCATTGCAAAAATGGTGCATTCTGCTTTGGATACGGAGAACAAAATACGCGGAGCAGATAGTTGGTCTAATCTGGAAGTTCAGGCATCTGAGCAGCAGGCTAGCATTGAGGCATTTTCGAATGCAAGTTTTGAGTTGCCTCCGGAGACGATTGCCGCTGGAGATGAGGTGGCAACGAGTCTTGCACCTGTTGTAAGTGAGCAGGATCAAAAATTGGAAAAACTGGAGGAACCTGAGGGGCCTAAAGATCCGTTTGCTGCGAGTGAGGCAGTAAATAAGCCAGAGGAGTTGGCTGGTGAATTTAAAAAGGATAAGACTCAGTCTAAGGATTTGACTCTTGCATTGGCAGGGTTGGAGGTTACTACATTGCCCCCTGCAGAGGCGACGCAAGCAACACATATAAGCGTGGAGGGATTTGAAGGGGACTATGGTGGGATTGAGTTTAGTAATGAACAGGCTTCTTTGGGAGAAACATTTGAAGGTTTCGGAGATGCATGGGGAGGTGGATTGGATGCTTCAGAGTTTGTGGGGCCGAAGAAAATCCCCAAACAACAAGGTCTCGGTGGACTTGAATTGTTGCAAACTGGTGATAATGGCGATGCAGCAGCAGCAGCAGCAGCAGCAAAGGCTGCGAGTGGAGCTACAGGTACTCCTCTTGAGAATCTTTTGGTTCAGAAAACTGAAATGAAGGGTCCTGAGATGTATATTGTAGAGGAAATTAGTGCAGAGTTTAGGGAATCGTTGCTTGCAAGAGTTGGATTAATGGGCCTGGTTTATTTGAGAACATTGCCCCCTAAAACTGCTGCTGATAAAGAAACTGAGTTTTCATTTCGAGTTGATAATACAAGTGCTGTCAAGAGATTTGTTATGCAGGGTTCAAAGGTTAGTAGCCTAGGTAATGGGATGTTTCATGTGAGGACTGCACCCTCTGATGAGCCTATACCTATATTGAAGTATAGTTTGCTGCCTAGGTTAACTCCATTGCCATTAAGGGTTCGTCTTACACAGCGCCATAGTGGAACTTTACTATCCTTGATGATCCAGTATGTTTCAAATCCAGATCTTCCAGCACCACTCACTGATGTGACATTTATTTTGAAATTACCAGTAGACCCTACATTATTGAAGGTTTCTCCTAAAGCTGTGTTAAATAGGCCTGAGAGAGAGTTGAAATGGCATGTGCCAGAGATTCCACTCAAGGGTTCTCCTGGTCGATTGAAGGCAAGAATGCCTGTTGATTCTAATGACGGAGAGGTTGATGAAGAGATTGAGGTTTTTGGTTATGCTAAGTTTTCGATGCAAGGAAAGACTTCTTTATCTGGCATTTGTCTACGGCCTGCTTCAGAGGGTAAGACAGACTTTTATGAGGTTAGTCACAGATACGAAAGTGGGGTTTACATGTGCAATTGATCATTGACATTATGGCTGCTTGCTTACAGATTGTTGTGTTTGTTTTTCTCTTCTTTTAGTTCCATGTGTTTTGTTGTTTTCCTTTGCTTGTACCATTCTTTGATATTGAGCTTGTACTTTAGATTGAGATTTGTGAAAACTTTGCTGTTACTTGTTATTAGCTAATCATTTTAGTAATGGATAGTGAATTTTGATATTTTATCCCTGTTTCTTTTAGCTGTTCTTGGTCACTTATTTTTTGAAGTTCATGGTCTTAATATCATTTTGTTTTATATGAGATTTATCTGTGTACTATTGTCCAAATAAATTGTGCCTTTTGTTTACTATTCATAAAGCACATGTGTGAAAGGATTCTAGGTAGAGCATCGAGTTTAATTAAGCTAGTAACACTATTGTATTCTGGTGCACCTGATCGAAAAAAAAATAGTGATTGGCCTGTGTACTGAGACAATGACAATAGGGCAATTTCAGGTGTTGCTTTTCAATTTTATCATGGCACTGAGCAAATTATTGATGACATTGGTATCACTTGAATGGAGAGAGTTTGTAATGCTCAATCAAGAAATAACCAGCCGTGTAGGTTTTAGTTCTGCTTTGAAAATTCCAATAGAACCTGTCCATCTGTGTCTTGTGTTGCATTCATTTTGTTGCTGTCATCTCATTGATCTCCAAGTAGTGCTTCCTTTTGCCCTATGAGCTCCTCTTTCTACTTCAATGAAGGGATGTGTTAGGTATATGCAACACTCTGTCAGATTTGAACACA